CACGGATCGGTATTAGACGTAATCTGTAGTATTAGGGCCCCTTATCAAATATGATTCCATTGCATATACATACAATAATACATAACAACAATATATAATTTTGTCACAATTATATGAATATGCAATCGGCGTGATTTTGCAAAATTGACGCCTACGGGTAGGTGTGTTAGCTTCATTTATATTCTGTACTCCGCGCCAATTTGATTGGATGACTGTAAACACTTTGATGATTGCAAATTTCAAATAAAGCGAGGATTTATCCACCTCCATTATTGATAACGCAACGGAATTTAGCCCTGTTGTTTATGTTTAATTAGATTAATTCATGTCATTTTATTGCAATAGGTAAAGATGGTCCCTAATTAAAAATAAATTTGTTTTGCAAAGATAAAAACGTAAGATCGACCCGGAATTATACTATGTCTTTCTAGATAGTAGGTAGGTGACTAATAAACCTATCACCCAAGAAATTATTTGGGTGAATCAAGGAGAAAGGCACCCTGGCAGTAAAATTATATAAAAGCAATGCTTTAATTTGATAACTACTTAGTAGGTAGTTGTTTTCTTAAAGACGAAATTTATAATTTTTCACTATTATATACGCCTTAATACAAAACACTAGCTATTGCCTGCAACTTCGCAGGCGTGATTATTTCTTATTTCGTGTTTTTAACTTGGAATTCCATGCGTTCATCCCTTATTTTGCCCTCTTTAGGGTAAGTTGAATAAAATTATTACTTAGTGAGTGCTTCCAACATAAAAAGCATCACCTGCAAAAATTGCAAGTTTGGGCAAGTAATTTCATATGAAAACCATTAATACTATAGAATACTATACCTATACCTATATAGGTAGCTTCTCATAATAATACCTAACTAAAACTTTTCATCTATGGCTATTTGACGCTGATTCTCCGGTATGGCGTAAGCCTAAGCGTGTTAACTTGTTAAGAGGCAGGTCGAATAAATAAATTTGAATAGGTTTTATAACTCGATTATAACACTGAAATCAGTCCAAATTGTTTTTTTTTTCGGAGTATACGAGCGTCACAGCCCTACACTACATGATTTTTTTCTATTAATAAGCACCTAATATTGCTTTTGTTCCACATAACTATACTATATGACACATTCGATTCACCCTACAACAAATGTAGTCAAACAACCACCACGAGACCACGCTTTTAGGTAGTAAGTACCTACTACATACTGACCATTACGGCTCGACTCCTTTGTTTTATTCATACGTCTCGCACATAAGGCTAGGCGTTTAGCATACATTAGAATACGAATGTCTCATCTGAAAAACTGTTCCGTTTTAATACGACCCCAGCGTACTTGCTGATAAAAGAAAAAGATAAGTTTTTTTCTAAATCTAATACAATACTTGCGGAGAGCTTATTCTATGCTCTTTTATTTTTTAGACAAGATGTCTTCAAGATTCTTAGACTAAACTACTTTAGTTAGTACATACCTAATGTTTTTTTAAGAATATGTGAGAAAGCAATTCTTAACCAATTTATCTCATATATTAGTTACGTGGAACTCAAAGGCGAGGAATAGGCACTTTATATACTACTTAAATATGAAAATAAAACACATATAAATAAAAACTAAGGCAGCCGCATTTACTTATTTTTCTTTTGATTTTGAATCATTAGTGAGATGAACAGAGATAACTCAAACCTACTTCTCAACAGAGCTTGCAACATTCGGAGTGAAAAACTGTGTGTTCGCCTCTCTTTAACTAAAAGAAATACCTAGATCATTTTAAATGATTACTTGTGGCAGTAACTTATAGTTCTACAAAGGTGGTCTAAAAAGTATCCGACCTCAACACGAAGATGGCAGCACTCCTGAATAAAAGCTAGTGAATTTCGTTGTTCATCTGTTGACAGTTACTCGCCAAAGTTTCAGCCATTTTGTACGCGCTGGAGAAAGCAGAGGTTATGAACATATCAAAAGAACGTGATTGTCACATATTAAATCAACATTTAGACATGAGAAAGCTGTCCGCGCGTTGGGTGCCGCGTTTGCTTTCGTTAAACCAAAAGCGTGTTCGAATGAACATTTCCAACGCTCTGTTGGCGCAGTTTAGGCTCAATAAATCCCAGTTCTGGCGCCGATTTATTACTATAGATGAAACTTGGATACACCATTATACGCCCGAAACAAAAATACAGTCCAAACAGTGGACTGCAAAGGGGGAACCGGCTCCAAAAAAGACAAAAACTGTATTTTCGGCTGGAAAAGTGATGGCGACTGTTTTTTGTGATAGCCATGGAGTTATTTTAATCGATTGTATTATCGCCAACAAGGAAAACTATTACAGAAGCATACTACGCATCATTACTTGACAAGCTGAAGGCAGAACTTGTGGATAAAGGGCCCATTTGCAGAAAAAGAAAATCCTGTTTCACCAAGACAACACACCCTCTCACACCTCAACGGTTGCCATGGCGAAAATTCACGAATTACGGTTTGAACCACCCCAAGCTAAAAATTGCGCTCGGAGGACAGAGATTTTCGTCAAATGAAGAGGCAATCACCTTCGTGAACAATTATTTTGCAGAGAAAAACGCTGAGTACTATTTGGACGGGTTACAGAGATGGGAGCAACGCTGGGAGAAGTGTGTAGTGTCAAGGAGACTATGTTGAAAAATAAAACTGAAAAAAGTCTTGTATCTTTGTTAGGTCGGAAGCTTTTCAGACCACCCTCGTATATACATCTTGATCAAAAAGATTGATCTTATTACCCTCGTGTTTAAGGCCGAGTGCTCAATTACTACCTACATATCGCATTGCACAAAATAGGAAGGTAGGTACCTACTTTATGCAATTCTGAGTGTTATATAGTTAATAATTTCAAAGTACTTAAACCATAGTGGTATTAATAAAATTGTAAATTTTCACAGAAAAGTCTAGTATTACCTCACCTAATGACAGTTTTAAGAGCAAAGAAGAGGTATACATATCATAGGTAATGCGATTCCGTGATGGAAGATGAGTGTGTCAATGCTAAACCTTAGCTATATAGTTCTCATTCATTTGTCATAATGGGTGAATACTCGTATTTGATATCTATATACTTAGTAATAGATAATTTAATTGACATAAAACTATAATGGTTATCGTGTGAAACTTTTTTCACATGATACCTATGAGGTTTTTCTTTTAAAAAATGTGCAACATTTCATTTTCGACTTTCAATGGCTTTTTTTTATTAAGCTTAGACGTGAAAGATTTATACTTCGAAAATCTAAGTCATTTTTGAATACGAGTTCCGACGCAGATCTAAACGCGACAGATACGGCTCGAAATATCAACGCTGCGTTTGGAGAGGAGACTGCTAATAAACGCACCGTTTAAATGCTTTCGTAATGGAAACTTCGACTTGAAGAACGAACCACGTGGTAGACCGCTCACACAGGTGAATAATGCCGAATTGAAGGAGATGGTGGAAGCCGATCCTAGTCAAACTACTCAGGATTTAGCGGCATGGTTTAACGTTACCCTACCTACAATATGGACTCATTCGCATTAAATCAATAAGATAAAAAATATGAAAAAAAAAAGGGTGCCTCATGATTTGATTGATCTGCACAAAGAAATGCGTGTTGAAACTCGTGTTGCCTTGTTGAATCTGTACAGAAATGAAGGAATATTGAATCGAATTGTGTCATGTGACGTAAAGTAGATTGTTCACGATAACCTTCAGCAAAAAATGCAATGGCTGACCCCAGGTCAAACGCCGCAACAGTGCCCTAAAGCAAAGCTTACCATTAAAAATGTAATGTTTGACTGTTTGGCGGTCTCTTTATGGTGTTATTCACTATAGCTTTCTCAGGTCGTACGGTATCCTTCGTACTCGCCAGACTTTTTCCAACGGCCTTCCATTTTTGGCTTGGACTTGGACTACCATTGATTTGGACAATTTTCTACGTGCGCCCCTTTGCGTCCTGCAGATGCCTAATTTTTTTTTCTGCGCATCGAAATGCACGATGTTCAGAGCCGCCATTAACTTTGCCTAGGACTATAAAACACTGATATTCTAATATCCTTTATTTTAACATAAAGATAACATATGTAACATAGAGTATTGTATTGTTCCAGAGGGATAGAAAAAATACTTTAATACAAGGTGCAAATGCTAGCAAATAATAAAAAATTAAACTACATAATCATTTAATAAATTTACTTATTCCCTTTACAAATATATGAAAACAATAAAACTTAATTATTTAATATTTTCTTTTTCTTATACTTTTAACTATATAGACAATAAAATAGAGCAAGATCCCAGGACCCCAGATGTTAATTACTTTTTCAGAAACCAAATGTATGGAATTAAGTAGTGTGAGTACGTAAGATTAGAGAGTTTAGTTAAAAATTATTGAACAACACATTCCGTCGGGGATAACTTTTACCAGACGCTTTAAAGCTCCCAAAAAAATAATATAATATGATTTTTTTGAGAGCTTTAAAGCGTCTGGTAAAAGTTATTATTCGTTATTAGTTATTATAATTTCAATCTCGATTTTCCTTCAATTCTTGAGTTCAATCTTGGGTATAGTAACTCAAAAGGAAAAAAAGGGAACCCTTATAGGATCACTTTGTTGTCCATCTGTCCAGACTCTAACATTGTCCATTGCTTCCCTGGGCCCTATACCTGGACCAATAGTTTCCTGAATATCATGACACGTATAAAAATTAAGACTGAAATTATAAGTAAAGTTACATTATTTTTTTGGGACCTTTAAAGTTTTTGGTAAAAGTTATCCCCTGCTAATCAGCACTGAACTTTACTTTTACTTACCATTAGCAGGGTACCTGCTAGTTGGCCAAGCTAGTAGGTATGCTTACACTCAAAGCACATAACTTACACAACTTAATACCATACATTTGGTTTCTGAGAAAATAAGTAACGCCTTCAGGTCCTGGGATCTTGGACTATAATGCAATAGCTAAGTTGATATACAGATATATGTATGAGGATCCAGTTTAAAACCATAGTCCATCTTCCGGTTCTTCTTCACTGTCAGTGACTTGCAGATCATCTTGTATTGCCGGATCAGGCTGGAAAATTAAAGTAAAATTATTTATTAAGAGAATTAAGGAAATTATATATATATATTTATTAGTTAATTAGAAAAACAGCACCAACTTTTTTCTTATTTAATTTTATTAACAAAATCTATTAACTTAGAAACGTAATTTTAATCATAAAGAAAATAATTTGTAATATTGATTTTAAAGGTTTATAATTAGACTTGCAACGAATATTCGGTTACTATTCGGTATTCGGCCTATTCGGCTGCTTTTAACATATTCGGCCGAATACCGAATATCTACATATTATTCGGCCGAATACCGAATACTTGAATAATATATTTTGTCATTGAGAAATAATTGGTAAAATGAAAAATTAAAATCGATTGATTACGTATATATTCATATTTTCATTTCTGTTATAATCATTTAAGTAGTCATTGGTGCATAACACAGGTACATAATCATCTTCTGAATAGGAATTTTTTTTTGTATTCCATGTATTTGAATTATTGTGGTAATCAAAATTTAGAAGGGTAAGGTTCTCATTTCTTTTGTAATCATTTATTAAGTAGTCATTGGTACATAAAACAGGTACATAATTTAATTCAAGTCTGTACAAGTTTTTGGCGCTAAAATCCAGCCGAATATTTTGCCTAATATTCGGCTATTCGGTCAGGGGCCTCGCCGAATATTCGGTATTCGGTATACTGCCGAATATACTATTCGTTGCAAGTCTATTTATAATAATGGTTTATAGAATCTTGTTATATTTTTTCCAAGAACTTTGAATACCGAAATATACACTCGGTTCCAAAAATTACGGGTCAGTCACAAAAATTGAAATACCTCCAGAACTGTAAAAGTTAGATCAATGAAATAAAAAACAGAATGAAGACTTTTTAGTTGCGCTTCTAATAGCATATTATTTAAACTGGTTGATGAAAAAAACTTCATTAGAAAAACAAAATTTAAAAAAATGACTATTTTTAAAAACAAAGTTTTTGTTTCATTTCATTATAGATGCTTTCCATTTCTATTCTGTCACAAAAAAATTTATCGTGAACGTCTTCCACGTGCATAATTATTATTCTGTGAGGTGAAGCATGGCAGTCACGCTAGAGGAATGTACCAGAATCCTAACTTTTTTGGAACTTGGGCGGAGCCAGCGTGAAACAGCCAGAAACATTGGTGTATCTTTGTCGACTGTTCAGCGGGTAGTCCAGCGGTACCAAGAGACCGGATCACACCTTAGAAGACCAGGAAATGGCAGACCAAGATGCACAACGGCCAGGGAAGACAGACAACTGGTGGCTACAATGCTCCGAAATCGTTTTCAAACTGCTGTTGGTCTAAAAACTCACTTTATTCGCTTTGGAGGTGGCAATTTAAGTGCTCAAACAGTAAGAAGACGTCTTGCTGAAGCAAATTTGAAACCATTGAGGCCCGCAAATGGCCCCAAACTGGAACGGGGACATCGAATTGCAAGACAGAGATACGTGCGCGAGCACCTAAACTGGACACTAGACGATTGGTCTAGGGTAATGTTCACGGACGAGTCTAAATTCATGCTTTATAAGCATGATGGTAGGCAGTTGGTGTATAGAAGACCAGGGGAGCGCTTCCATCAAGCGTGTGTGGAGGAAAAAGTGGCGTACGGTGGAGGCTCCGTACAAGTTTGGGCTGGGATTTCTACTGAGGCCCGCACCGAGCTGGTACTCATTCAAAATGGAACTCTAAATGCAGAGAGGTACGTGGAAGAGATCCTCAATGAACATGTAGGTCCTTTCATGGCCAGGATGGACCGGCATGGCATATTAATGCATGATAATACGCGTCCCCATACCGCCAGAATTGTACATGACTACCTTGAAGAGGTCGGTATCGAACTCATGCAGTGGCCAGCGCGAAGCCCGGACTTAAACCCCATCGAGCACGCCTGGGACGAGCTTCAAAGATGCGTGAAAGGTCGAAACCCCCCACCAATCACGCTTCCCGAGCTCAAACAAGCACTGGTGGAGGAATGGGAAGGTATTCCTCAACACCGGCTCCGAAATTTGGTCTACAGCATGCCTAATCGCCTGGAAGCTGTCAGAAGAGCTCGCGGAGGCAATACAAAGTAGTAAATGAAGAAAGTGATGAAAAACAGCAAAAAAACAATCATAAAAAAATGTAATCTTAAGAAAAATATAACTACTTTAGTTTTTTTTTTAATTTAGAGATAAGTTAAAGAGTTAGAGTTTAGATTTAAGTTTTATTTTATTTTTTATCTGTATAATTAAATTCTCAATTGAACAGTCTTCGTTTCATTAGGATGGCATACGTAGTTCGGGAGATATTCGGGTTTATGTGACTGACCCGTTATTTTTGGAACCGAGTTTAGTTTGTTGAATGCCAAGCAAGAAAAGTTGTAAAAAACCATTCATAAATGTCGATTTCAGCCATCCGTTCATTGTTACATTTTAGTACAAAGATTTATGAAAACTTTCATATGAATAACTATAATCTATCTATAATCTAAAACTTCATGTTAGACTATTAAAGAAACAAATTATGCAGCTGTTATGACTTGTTTAATGCATGGAGTTATTACGTTGAATTTATAAGTATAACATAGCCATAAACAAAAAAATGGTATTTGAATGGTAATCTATATAATATATCATGGAAATTAGTCTGCGACTTCATTCCATTACTTCAGGCGAAGAAAATTATTGCAAAAACAGATTGCAAATATAAATTACCTGCCAATTCTCTTGCGGTTCTTCTTTGAACTGCGGCGGCGGTATAATCTCTGCATTGTCCATCATTGGTGGATCCATTGCGATGTCGGGCTCGATAGGCTCCTCCTGCAAAGGTATTATCGAGTTTATGGATATTCTAGCACAGAATTGCTAAAAGTAAAATTCTATTAATTGCCTAAAATAGTCATAACTAAAGTTAGTTAGGCAGGTTAGTAGTAGCAATCATATTAAATAATCTGATTCTTTGATTATACTTCTTCCTTGACCAACTTCAAGAGAACTCAATGGCGGTTACAAGAACATCTTATTAGCAATGAGATTAAAAACTTTTTTGGAGTGGTATTCAGAAAAAAAGCCGAACGTCAGAAATACACATAAGAGGAAAACCATATATCTTTCAAAAACTATATTTTTTATGCTAAGAAAAGAAATATTACCTTGACTGTCGTCATAGGCGGAAATGAGAAGTCAGTGCTATGTTGATCCAAATCTACGAAATCTTCCGTAGGAGGAGGTAGTTCATCTGGGACCTCGCGCTTTATCTTCAGGAATTCAGATGTGTCGAAGCTCGGCTCACCCATGGGCACATCATCGTCTTTAGAAAGTAAACAAAAGGAAAGTTACCAATTGAGAAAAAAATATATTTTATACAAGAAAACCTCATTTTAACTTCTTGATATTGTGATCTTACATAGTATGAAGTTTCTTGTTTGACTTCAAAAAATTGATAACTGATGATATTAATGTTTTTTTTTGTTTACCTGGGTATGGTGGACGTACAGACAACTGCACCATAGCTTCAGCAGCTACTTTCTGTTCTACCTCTTCTAATTCGGAACTGCCGCTATCCGAATACTGGAGATCTAATAAATAAAAATACTTTCAACTTCTGAACACGTTGTTGTTATATTAAAATTGAAATGTGTACAAAAGTAATAGCTATTCAAACCTTCTTCTAGCGAGTTTTGATCGTTACGTGGCCGGCCTCGTTTTCTTGGCGGCGCACCTAAATTTAAAAAAGAAACACATTAGAAAACGCTACTGTATTAAAAGTTTTTAAAACATATTGACGAAATTTTAAAACTAAGTACTATTTTTTTGTATTGTGCTTATTTTAAACAGGGTATATAATCACCGGGTGTAGTAGAAGTGGATGGTTTATGTTTTCTCGGCCGTCCTCGGCCACGTTTTTTCTCCGAGTCTGGCTGCGGTGTAGGTGGCTCTTCGACGTCCAAGTCTGAATGGTCGGCCTCTTCTAGCATTTTCTGTTGTACGCGAGCTATGTTCGCTTCCAGCTGGCTTACGTGCTCACCAAACTGATCAAGTAACAAAAATATAAATTAAGGATGGAGATTGGTGTAGGAACTACGACGACTTGACGACTAAGTTAATTTTTATTTGAAACTTTTTGTTAAATTTAAAACATACTTGTTCTAGGTGATTTTTGATAATCATTTAATTTACTTAATGTTTTAATACATTTAATAAGTATGGGCGTCGCTGTAATCCAAAATATTACTTACATTTATTACAAATAGGTCACGGCATTCTAGCATTTCTTCAAATTGAATAAACAAGAATACAATATTTTTAATTACATTATCACAACATGCTACAGCCAAGTTCATTTTTATAGTCATGGTGTCAGATGTGTGTTTGCCTAGATTTGTATTTTATTTGTCGTTATACTATAAAAAAATATGTTTTGTGAAAATCGAAGAGAATTTGTCAATGAATACCTAAGACAAAAAACACTAGCGACATAAATGGATACTATATAACAGTAAATAATATAGGCCAGTTCTTGTGCCAACTGCCACTGGCTTTCATCAAGTACTTTTAAATAAGTATATTACATTGTTTTAAATCAATGTTTGAAACAATAAAATAAGAAAGAAACAATAATCAAGAAACAGTATTTAAATATATTATTTATATTTTTTCAGTCTTACCTGTTCAAGAGAATCTTGAGTAACTTTCAGAATAGCTTCAGCTTGGCGAGTGAATTGCGAGTTGGGTCCGTTGTACGCGCGACAATTGTCCACTAATAATTGTATATCGCGTAGGAAATCGTTACGGCTGTGGTACTTATGAGCTGCAATTTAAATAAAAGTGTAAGTTTACAAGAAAATCTTAGTGTGTTTAATCACCAATTATAAGAAACATCAGAGTTCCTTATTTGTTAATTATCGTTAGTCATCAACTGATCGAGAGGAACAAACATACCTTGTATTTTTTTGCCCATCGTTTCCATATCAATAGGCCTCTTTATAACGCTGTAGTAGTCTTTCACCTGCTTCTTATTGACAGGCTTTAAGAACGGCCATGCTTCCGGCATCACCTTTAATTTTGTAGTGAGTAGATTCTCTAATATAAATGATAACGCCACCTACGAAAACAGTTTTGTGTGTAAAATTTGACGAAAAATAAAATAGCACTTGTGATAATAATACCCTATTAACTTGTTTTTAACCGACTTCCAAAAAGGATGGGTTCTAGATTCGCGGAATCTTTTGTGAACTAACCTGGTCGTTATCATCGAGTAAGGGATTGATTTGTTTCTCTAACTTCATAAGTTGTTCCTCCTTCTCAGCGAGCTTCTCGACGCACCGCTGTAACATGCGCTGAGCAGCCACTGTCAGGCTACTTGTAGGTCCTGTACAAACAGTACAATATACGAACATTTTAATAAAATACTTATAAAAATGAGCACAACGGAGCCATGAAATTCTCCTGAGACAGTGAAACTGTAGTCTCGATTTTCAGTGTTTTTTATTGTTATTTAAATAAATGAACTGATAATAAAAGTAAAACGTTTATAAATATACATATATACTTAACAACATTATGATATATTTTTGTTATAATATACTTCTTATATTATTGTTTGTTTATTATACTTATTGTTATATAAATTTTGATATATATATATATGTATACATATATTTTTTTTGTGTTTTATACTTACTTCTCTCACTACATTTTAGAACCCAACAGAACGTAGATTCAGATACGTTATGTATTGTTTATGCATCGCATTGCATGTTAAGTATCTTTTTTTAATCATAATAAGAACAACTTTAGTTTTATTTATTTTAGTCAAGAATTTTTACACATTTATTACAATAATGTTATAAAAAGAAAACTTGCCATTATAAAGAGTGGAGTTCTCCACAATCTGGTTGACATCGGCGAGGAACTCTTCTCTACTTTGGTAGTGTTTCTGCCTGAGGTTGTCCCTGATGGTCTGCAGGTCCATAGGCCGCGAGACGATGCGGTAGTAATCCGCCACCAACTATAGAAAATATCAAACAGTGAATAATGACGACACAGCTGTAACTCTAACTACGAGTACATAGAAAGAATTACAGATTATTTATAACTATACTTACTAAAACTATGAAGATATTAAAAGGCTTTGTTGTATGTATATTACAACAGAGATTTTCAATGTTATTACACTATGTACATATAAGAACCTATTATTTTTTAATTAAAATTATAGTTTAGGTATATTTTGATAATTTGAAGCAACAGAAGCAGTTCTTATCAAAGCATGCAGATTTTTTAAATATAATAAACAGTTCTATTGCTTTTTGAACATTACAGCATGCTTTGTCTACATATATCTACAGTAGTAAACTCAGTCATATTACTATAATACAGGTACTTACTGACTATTCAATTAGTTCTGATGGGCTTATTGGTTTACATAGTTAGACAGGTATCACTATACCATCTGAGGCACCAGTCTCTCACAAATGCCTTAATAAACTTAAGTTACATAAAAGGATGACCGAGTATACGCATTTATGATGAAAATATAGCTTACTACTAAATATTATGATTATTATTAAAAATAAAAGTGATTTCTACTTCTATTTCTTACTAGTTCTATGAATACAAACCTGTCGCCAGATTGCTAGTTCATTGCGATGAAAAGCAATTCAACAAATGATTTTGATAAAATACAACAAGAAAAGTACAGCTCATCACGACTATGACACCTACCTTATGATTGACCGGGAATAAGAAAGGTTGAACATCGGGCAGATGTCTCATGTGGTTCAACACGTCTTCTAGTAGAGAGGAGAGGGTGACGAGCGGGTCGGTGCGGCGTCGCTCGGCGGGCCGCTTGACGAGATAGTCGCAGCCGTCGCTGACGGTGCCGCGGCGGTTGCGGCGCCCTAAGGCACGAGCCTCCGAGCCCAGCCCGCCCATCCCACCTGACCGACGACCACTACCGCGACGTTTCAGATCTTCCGCAGATTGCTATGAAACAATAATAATATCTATTAAACTGACATCCGCCGATCAAAATTACGTTGCAGTATTTTATTAAAGAAAATACCTCTTTCACATGAGAAGTTTAGATTTGTGTATTTCGTCTTACATGTCTTTTCACGTCTGAATAATTTCTCAAATAAATGTCTGAGGAATGGTTTACAACTGCAGTTTTATAATGTTCAAAAAATTTTAAATTATACCGTAACAGAGACGATCGCGTGATTTTTAAATTGTATTAACTTTTAATTTTGGGGAGGGTATAAAACAAAATACACCTATACAATCAACTCTTATATGTTTCTGTGTTATGTTTGTCTGAAATAAGTAACTTTAAAAAAAGTATCACCGATTCGAATAGACCTGTATCATGATGAATATAGTGTTATATTCTATATTATAGACTAAAGGAGCAAACTACGCGGGACAAAAGCACTGCAGAGAGAAGGAAAACTTGACACAAACCCTATACCGTATACGTGGTATAGTATGCCAAAACCTTAAATTTTAATTTACGCTTTGTTACTTACCTTAATATTCTTAGTGTTTAATGTAAGTTTAGTGCCATCGACGTATCCCATGTCGTCATCCGAGGGGTCAAGTGGTGGCGGTTCTACATCCGGCTCTATGGGAGACGACGGCCCGCCGCCCATTGAGCCCGTGTATAGAGGGCAAGCTTTGTTTGTACGCATGTGTCCTACTTGACCGCAGGCTCCGCACTAAATAACGAAAGAACATTGAGTACATTGTAAAAATAAACATCTGCCCTTCCAATCACAGGGCATTCACCTGTATGCTATCCCCGTCTCTTCCACCTATGAAACTTGTGAAATTTCTTAGACCAGTTCCCTCACCATACAATTATAATAATAATAATAACCCTTGCACATCTCACACATGGCCGTCTAAACCCAAACTATGCAGAGTCTATGCCAAACTAACCAGCCTGCTGATAAACATACTTATATTTCTACATTTAATCCATACATTTTTTTATAAAAAAAATATGTTAGCTACGGCAGACGTTCATGGGCGGCGATGGCCACCTGATAGAAAATGACCATCGCCGCTCATGAACGTCTGCAACTCTGGAGTCACAAAATATAGATGAATTACACCCAGAGATAGAACAAATGTTCCTTCTTAAAACACAATTATTGGTCCTGGGTGGGAATTCAATCTATGTTCTCTTGCTTAGCAATCGGGATCGCTAACCACTAGACCAAGGACTATGTGCGTCCGTCTTCCTTACCCTCGATTTCAATTCTTCATTTGTCCCATTTGTAAGTGATTAAACTCACTGGTGGTGGTGAATGTGGACTCCAAAATAACATTGAAAAAAGAGCAGCAAGATTATGAAATAAAAACATGCAAATAAACACACATCTATTCATACAAATTCATGTTAAGCAGGAATCGAACCCGCAAATCCTGACACTGTAGATCCAAAAAAGTGCTGTAAGTAGTTAAAAACGTCTATTCATTCACAATACGGTTTTAAATCATTTTCGAATTCGAGACCAATAACGTAACTTTTTTGTTCCTAAATTCAGCAAGGATTAAAAAAGTGTTTTAATAACCTTCAACTTTAAGTCTGGTTTTAGCTTCGCGCGGCGTCGTGAAGATGATGGTGTTTGTACATCGGGTTCGGTTTTGATTTGCCCGAGCGGTATCATGCTCGGTGACGGGGATCCCAAATCCAAAGACGTAGATAAACTGGCACCTAAATACAAATAATATTTTATTTCATCGTTTGAGCTAAGCATTCGTTATTATTTAACTTAAAAGTTTGTTATGGACTTATATATTGTTATCAGAGGAAGTAGTAGGAGACTACGTTCAATCTATTTTTTACAGTAAAGAGGGGCAGATGGGTTATCTGAGGCCTAAGTGAGAGTTTATTTCACTTCTACTTGATCGTCACGGTGACCGCATTCGGCGCTACGATTGGCCAGCGCTGAAATCTCCACCAATCACAACGGTAAACGCGCAAGCCATCGAGAGCCAGTCGATGTGAAATAAACTTACACTAGGCCCTCTGATGGTAAGTGACGACCGCCGCCTACACCCGCCACCCAAGAGTTAAAAGTGCGTTACCCCATTGCAGTCCCTGACCTTAGAATCAGTGGAAGGAGAGTTTGTACTCCGATAAATATACTATGATTTCAAAATTTTAACAATCACAAAAACAATATCTGTTTCGTAGAATGTGTTGTGTTTATGAGTTTAACAGTTGTCTTAAATTGTGACTAGGCTGACCATTCTATTTAAATATTATTTTTTTTATATAAGCCAATAGTTTACAGATAATGTTGTTGTAAGAAATCAGTGAGAAGCAATACAAACCAAAAGGTTTAACGTCTGGAAATGGCGCGGGGACAGTGACGTTGCCGGCAAGCCTTTCCCTCTCTTGATTTCTCTTGATACGTCGCAGTTGTTCCTGTTTAATAAAAACACACCTATTAGAACTATGAATAATAATACGTGAAGAATAGGCTATTTGACAACAATAAAAATACTCTCCAAATTATGGCCATTCTAGTAGATAATAGGATTGAAAAGCATAATTTACTTAATTTTACACAAATATTAAGCAAATTTAGCGAATTTTTTTTTTATTATTAATTTTGCTGTGGACGGGAACGTCCTGTGATTGGACACAAATGTGTGACGACACCGCAATAGTCACAAGTGTCAAAAGTGAACCATAGACTAAAAGATATGAAGTAAACAAAAACAATCTCAATTTGTGGATTGCTTCGACCGATGTCAAGTGCTCATTTTTGTGTTTTAGTTATTTCTAAAAGTATTTTATAAAATAGTAATATAATAATAGATAGATTCTGAAAGAAGTGGCATTAATATCTATACAAATCGCAAAATAATGAAGCTCACTTCATAACCACGTCAGCACTGTTTTGTTTATAACATATATTATATCAATGGTCAATTGTGTTACGTCATGATCTTGGGGCTTTGTGCCCTCCGCCCTCTTGCCCTTGAGTAGGTAACTAGCGTGTGACGTCAGTGCAATTTTAAACTTCAATAGCGATTTTTAAATGTAAATAGATCTAATTTCCCAGAAATATTAATGTACTATGTATAATATCATGTATAGATAGAATCTTATACATTTTCTAAACTTAGTCAAGTAGCCTATTAATTTAAACTCTCATAGCTTTAGATTATTCCAGTTTATTAAATATTGGTACCTGAATTCTTCTCTTTTCTCTCTTCATCTCCTCCTTCTGCGACTCGTCCATGGTTGCAAACTGTCGTATGAAGGTATCGTCCTTGGTGGAGCGTATCTTCATGTACGCTTCAATGACTGCCGCCTTGCGCACTAACTCCACGCGAGTGTAGCGCTGGCCGGACGCGTTGCGGAAAGTGCGAGCGATACGGAGTACGCGACCTACAACATAACATACAAATAGATGAACACAGAATAAATAACAATAATTTTGATCAGCATGCTTTATGTTAGGGAAATTTTATACAATGGTTTTTTTGAAAAGAGTTTCTCGAGAATATTAACGTTTTCAGAAAAGATTGTCCTGTGACTAAAATGCTTCAATTCAATTATTTGTCGAACATGTCACACGTTTACGTTCGGATTTTTTTAAAGTATTACTTCATAACATCGACAACAACAACCGTGGTACACCAATCAGCACTCGTACGTGTAACACCGACAGCCTATCTAAAATACAACTGTTCATGATTGAACAGACAACATACTATTCTGAATGTACTTATGAGCAGTAATATACCTTGGCTAGATGATTGTTGCTGATCCGTTTGGTTGATTTGCGGCTTCTTTTCAGATTGTCCCATGATCATTTTTCTCAGTTCAGCTCTCTCAGCTTCTTCTCTCTCCAGAGATAACTGAACATGAACAAGTTGAATATTTAGTTTAGGAGAATATTATTAAAATAATGTATTTGATACTTATACACATACATGCTTTTACTTTTGATATCAAGTTTTGATAACTTCGATAGTAGCTCTATTTATTTACCCTTAGGTTTAGGTACATAATTAAAAAAAAAAAGAAGTACCTACACAGCATACCAAAAGCAGTTGCTATATTGCCTGATTTGAACTCGGTAAATTAAAAGAGTTGTAACTGTAAAATCACCTGTTCAGTAGTTTTCTTATTCGCAAGCATGTTTTCAAGATTTTTCCCCATTTCTTCCAAATCAGATTCTTCGCTCACGGAGCTCTCGGCCTCGTCAGTACTTAGCACTTCTGTACTCGTCAGTACCCGGTTCTGTAGTTCAAATATACGTTGGCATTCTTCTTTGTACCTATTAATATAAGAGAATCAAAGTTAGAGACAAGCGATTTCATAACACACAAAAGTAAATGAGCAAAAACAATAATAGTAAGCAGACTGAAATGCGATCGTTATACACTAAGAGTAGATATCAATTAGAAGTGATAAAAATGTTTAAAGTAAAGTTTTATCGAAGATAGAAACAAAGAGGATAAAACAACATTAAAATTTGTTGATAAAAACAAGAAGTACGAGAAAAGAGGAGAGAACAACAGCTATTTAAAAAGCGATAATAAATTAATTTGTCTTTGCAAACTACTTTATTTTGTAGGCGTCATGTGATTTGATGAAAGGTAGATGAATACTATGCCATTTTATATTTAGTATATTTTTTAAACTAGTCTTAATAAAAGTTTTTATTTCCTACCTCTCTTGATGCTCAGCGATAGAAAATCTGTTTCCTCTTGAAAACTTCGTCATACCTTCTTCGCCGGCCTTAGCTTTTTCAGTCGATAGTGTTCGCACTACATCAATGACCTCCCAACGGGACAGTTTTTTAATCTGCAAGAAAAAAATATTTTTAATAAAAAACAACACTCAAAAAATCAATAGATAGAGGGACCCTTCTATTTAAAAGTTGATTTTAAGTCATGTATACAAATTTGGTTAGTTCCTTACTGTTATGGAATCAGTAAGTTATGGGAATTATAAAACTATGTTAACTTACCTCCTCTTCGGGCACTCCAAACTTTCTCAACAAAGCTTTGGCATTATTCAAACTCAGTCTTCTCAAATCTGCATCAGTTCCCGTCACGGTTCTCTTGGGCTGCTGTTCCTCGTTGGGCTGTTGTGTCGGCTTGTTTGGCACTCGCACGTACGAGAACCCTTCCCCGCAGCCTGTTGGATCCGCCGGTCCAGTCAGTTGCAACAGACATTTGCCACGCATTGCTTGAATGTAGGCGCGAGTTGTATTCCAGGGAGCCACTTTTACCTGGGTAAAATAAATAAATAATACGATTATTTCTCATAACGATTTTTATTATATATACAAGTTGCTAAGTAGTGCTTTATCTTGAAACCTTTAACAATTGAATAAACATCGTTTTATGAATAAATATTTTACTAGTATATTATTACCCCACCAAACCTTCACCTAGACAGTTAATTTCTTGTACGCTTATTATTGTATAGAACCAAAATATAGATGACAATATAATATACTGTATGAAACGAAGTCTTCTCACATGCATCATTTTTGTATGTTGAGTGTTAGTACACAGTATAAATATCAAACATCTAATATTATGGAGTATTTACCTCATCATCCATCTTCAGTTGCATCTCTTCATCGTCATCCTCTTGCGGTGTAAATATGAACTTCTCTCCATAACCGGCGTCTTTGAGCCTCTGTTCTGCGGATGCCATACTGAAGTATGCACAGCACTGTTCTGGTGATACCATGGCGCGTATTTCTTCTTCGGATGGCAGGCGAAAATCAGGTTTTATTACCCACCTTTAAACATATTGGACCCCAAAATTAAAACAATATTCACGAATATTGCCGCTTATAGGTTATTACCTGCAGTCTTCAATATCATCTAAGTATTTGTAAATTGCCAATAAAAATCTCTTTTCAAATCAATTAAATCAAGATTTGGTATTTTTATTTACCTGTGGGGGTTTCCACACAAAAAAAAAGATACAGAAATATCATTAATGTTACTCCAAATACTTACCAATTAGAATCCAAGCCAGTACGTTTGAAATCAGCACATAGTTTGAGACGCTTCCTAATGGAGCTCTCAGAGTGCGAGGGGAAAGCTCTTTTGATGTCATCCATTTTTATACGACGAGGTTTATCGCGAGATTTCCAGAACAATCGGTATATGAACACCTAAAAATAAAAACAATTTATGATAACAACTACACATTATATTTTTATTAACATTAGAAATTAATTTTGAATTAATAATAAATTAAATTACTGTTTCTTGATTTTATTACTTTTGAAGATAATAGTGAATCTTTCCTCAAAGACGATAGTGTTTCTGTTACCACAATATTTATTTTATGAATGTCTTAGTAAATAACTGAAATGGCATCATTAAGTTTTATCAGAACAGTTCTTTTAATACATACCTGTAAAAAGTCTCGCACAAAATTATTAGCTCTCTTAGAGTTGGGACCAGGCACCTCATATAAAGGGCATTCTTGACCAGCCACGAAGAGAGCATCCACTTCACGAATATAGTAAGCTTGTCTGAAAACAAATAATATTATGGGTGCACGAAGGTTCTGTCGTTAATTTGCAGAGATTATGAAAACAGCTATGCAAAATACAGGTATTTTACTTATTGGTGTAATTTTGGATTAACTTGAAGATGAGAAATGTATTTCCTGTGGCCTTTTCAAACAAGTAATATATAATAAGTTGATATTATGCTGGTAGTCACCGAAGCCATTTGAGCTGAATGTAAAACACAGTTTAGGAATTAAAGTTGACTCAACGCTACAGATAGATACTAATTTGTAAATAAGATAGATAACTGAATAGATATTTATCAATCCCATATATCTAATGACAGACTATACTAAATGTCATCCCCTTGCAACATGTAAAGAAAGAAAAGTTAAAAAAAAAACTCTTTTTAATTGTAAATAAATGAAGTTTCTTTTACATTTGATTTATAAATGCATAAGTAGGTACGGGTACAAGTAATTATAGCTAATTATGTTAATGGAAAATGAAGCAGTGAAGACCACTTACCGGGTCCTTATGATGAGGAAGTCATTTTGCGCTAAGGTGTGGTCGTAAATAGGCGCTCTGTACATGTTGTTCTCTATGACGGGCTGGGTCGCCCCCGGCGGCAATATTCCCAAGAACGGTGAAGTGTGTGCGTATGCTACTTCGCCGTACTTCAGCGGTTTCGGACCATCATCCTACATTAACAGTAGCATTAATAAAGATGACACCCATAAATGATACCGTATATTCAGGAAACAATAACCTACTTCAACAAATAGCGTTATATGTCATAGCTAACATTAGTAATGTACTCTTATGCCTATATCCCGGAAGAGGTAGACGAAATTACAACAGTACAGGTTCGTTATCACAGCCAATACAGTTAACACAACCATTTGTAGTACAGGAACCGATGCTGTAGTACAGGATCAGACAGTTGTGTTAAGGGTCTGAAGCTGTTGTTATTATTATTACTTACCTTGGCAGCAGTACGCTTATAATAATTCTTAATTTTTGAACACATGCCGACTTGACTGATGAGGGGTGGATGCTCTTCGCAAAACTCTACCAGCACAAGTTCACCGTCGCGACCGCTCAAGTCTTCAGGAGTTCGCATAAAGAACACGTCACCACCACCCGAAGCCAGACGTTCAGCTTCACGTTGCTGAGGGAATAAACTTCGTTCAACACTACATTTTCTTAAAAACATTTACTCGGGGACCAAAAAGTAATCGTGCCGTTTAAAAGTATTTTCACGAAGCAGTTATACAATCACTAGCGTCCTTTACCTTGGCTTTCTTTTTGATATGTTTAAGCAGCGGCTGCACGGGGTGCGGGCCGTGCGCGGCGAGCGGCCCGTAGGACAGCTTGCGCATGGGCGGCCGGTGGAAGGCGCGCAGCCGCGCCGGGCCCATGTGCGTCTGGATGAACGGCGCGCGCAGCTCCACCACCGGCGTGCTGTGCTGGATAAGCTGTCCGCCGCCCACTTTCAGCCGAGGGTTCTGGGACTTCGCTTGATAGTATCTGTATAAAATAACTCATAAGTAATGTATTTTACAGTGTACTGTACACCGAGAACATAATAATATACCATCCTTGAGATAGCATTTCCATATTACGCTATTTGCTAATTCACTTAACTATATAACTCCAGGTGGTGTAAGTCTCTTAAACATTTTAGATAAAATAAACAAGTTTAGATATCCGTCATAGAAATCGTAAAAATAACTCACACATCATTAGAGATATTGAAGGGATCTCTATCTGGCGATTTTGGTGGCGGTGGCGGCGCATCCTCCTGCAGTACATTGATTACACCCGCTTTGCCGAGTAGAATCTTTGATTTCTTTACGTGGGGATGTGGGATCTTTACTTTTGGAGCTGGACCTCTTTCTGCAATAAAATATATAAATTTGTAGGTCTAAAGAATACTTAACAAAGTACAATGTTTCCTTCAGGAGCACCATTAAGTATTTCCTACATGCTAATTTTTGGAGAATTACTTGACTGTGTGACATAGTTGAGGTATTAGGTTAAAAGTTACGAAAGATAGCAGTTCATTATAAATTAAGATACCTGAACATGGGGCCTAGTGTAAGTTTACTTCACATCAACTCACTGTCGACGGCGAGCGCGTTCGGCGTTGCGATTGGTGAAGATTTCAGTGCGGGCCAATCGCAAGGCCTGAACGCGTTGTTGTCGAGAGTGACTTGATGTGAAATAAAGTTAAATTTTTTGAAAAGATTTTGATGCTGATGACTTAAAACGATTCAATAGTAATTAACATACCTCTAGTAATCTTCGAGGGGTCAACATCATCGGGTATGCCCAATATAATATTCTCATCGTTTGGATCGAGCGTCAATATTTTTGGTTTTGGTACTGTTGGCATATTCTCCGCGTCCCATATAACTTCGTCCTCCCAAGTACCATAGACTAGTTCCTCGTTTTCAACAGGGAATATACTGTACCAAGTATTATCTTCACCATCAGCAGCATTATCGGGGCCTTTGTTAGCTGACGATGTGGCCCTGAGACAGGTATAAGGAATAGTGAACTTACACTGCCCTGTAAAATTTACATTGAGCAATTTGGAAGTTTTTAAGATATTTTAAATTAAATTAAAAACGTCAGCGTGGTGTTAAATAAACTAAATAATAAGTAACCCGCACTTTACCCTATCCCGCACAAGTTTTAAAATATTGATGTTAAAAGTTCATAATAAACGTTTTAAATGATTCAAAAACCGAAGGTTCACGACAATAATAACTTGCATTTCCTATCAACGGTATAAAAATCATGCTTATATCGAGTTGATAGAAAATGCGGATAAATCCATGGAAATTATTTTTGATCACATGGGTGGACTTTGCAAATAACAGGTACAGGTATCCTTTAACGTGCACCTTAGGTGATGGTGAAAAGATAAAGGTGAATACGTTGATAAATTAACGAGATCACCTTTTCCTTTTCTTTTCTGGTAAACCAAAGATTTACAGGTAGCATTAGTCACACACAAGGCATAAACAAGATAAATTTGAAATAGACATACGTGGCTGGTTTCGGTTGCATAGGCGCAGGAGGTTGTGGTCTCGGGTGTGAGAACTGTTGAGCGGTACGGCTTACCGACGTCGGTACCCACCCAGCTGCATTACTTTTACTATTTAGGCGGGCGAGCACCTAAAAAGCAGTACTTGATAACTAAGTATTTATACATATAGGTAGCAATCAAAACTGCTAAATTTATAACATAGGAACATTGATAAGGTTTTAACCTTAGGTTTTCGAGCTGTATCCTAGAAAAGATAAGAAAACACCCCTGAAAATTCTAATTAAATACATCAAACAATCGTTCCTATAGAAAGAATTATAGAAATCATGTAAAATAATGGCTCCACACCACTAAACATAAAGTTAAAGTAAAAGGCAGCGACAATTATTGATCAATTATTTTAGAAAAAAAGAAATAAACTTTTACATTATACATAACGACTATTGGACAAGAGACGCCTTCTCAATTAAATACTGAATAAGACTCCACCCTTTACCCACACTGAATGTATCCTGTATCATGATCAATAACCGGCCAAGAGCAAGTCGGACTCGAAAAAAAAATACGTTTGTTGTATGGGGAGTAAATATTTTGTTTTATTTTAATTAATTATTTTTAAAGTGAATATATAACTAAATATTCTGTGAATATTTCAAGCGTCTACCTGTTGCCGTTATCAATATATTATTCTGTTTTTAGTATTTGTTTTTATAGCAGCAACAGAAATACATCATCTGTAAAAATTTCAACAGTCTTAACTATGACGGTTCATGAGATACAGCCTGGTGACAGACGGACAGCGGAGTCTTAGTAAACGGGACCCCGTTTTACCCTTTGGGTATAGAACCCTAAAAATCAATCATTCTATAAAGAGTCAGCAGCAAACCTATATGTATAACCAAAGTCAGAAGTATATAGTTAAATCTGAGTGCGCCCCATACACTGCTGTGCTGTACCTAGTTCAAACTTTAGAACTTAGTTACAAAAAATAATATGTATATTAAAAGGAACCTTATGTTTAATTTCGCTGCCATCCCATATGACGTCGTCTTCCCACTGCAACTGTGATACCATAAGAAAAGAATCATCAGGGAACCCACTGTCAGGGTCCTCTTCCAGCTTTGGTTCTTCCACTATTTCTTCTTCAGCTTCCTTGGGTTTAGGTTGCTCTTCTCTTTCTGGAGAAGGTGCCTACGAATACAGGAAAGGAGTAATGTAAATTAATCCTTTTAAGTCATACAACAATTTTAAGTCTTCGTTTTATTCAATATTATTAAGTGACTAGAGACTACTAAAGATGAGATTGAAGTAATTTATTTAGTATGAGTAAAAGGAATATGAGAAGTTACAAGTTGAAACTCTCGATATAAAAAAGTTGTCCAATAACGGTATTCCTATTTTTGAAAAATTCCTGTAGCTATGAACGAAATATTTTTGGATAGACTTCCTAATAAAAAATATCATGATTTATAAAGTAAAATTTTAAATTACTTCCATTTTGAGAAAACATCGTTTTTACTTTGGCATTGTTGCGGGAATGCTGACGCAACGTTTTGAGTTATCGGTACTGTAGTGCGCTGTGAACGACAGTTGTCCCGTGGTCGTCTTGTATACCGTACTACAGCACACCCATATATATTGTATACAGTCGTAATTAATAAATTTAAATAAGTTGTTCATAGACTTATTATTTCTCTCTGTACACATACGCAACCCCAGTAATAAAGGAACAAAGTAACGACCAGTTACAAAAGTGGTGACCCCGACTGAACTGTGATTTGGTAATTTTAAAGAACTTTTGTGATATTGTGTACAGATTGAGACTGTTTAGAACGGGCAACTCACTTGTGCTGTAGTGTTGTTTTTTAATATCGGTACTTATACGAGTCGTGATTACGTTAAACATGCCTACCGAAGAAAGAAAAATAGCCACCGAAGAGTATCATTTATCCACTATCTCCGTCACGGCAAGAATACCTGAGTTTTGGAAGAAGTCGCCGAAAACCTGGTTTATTCAGGTAGAAGCAGTACTACAACCGCAGAAGATGTCTGATGAAGCGAAATATCAAGTCGTTATATCGAAATTAGGCCAAGAAGTTATAGAGCAGATCACAGAAATTTTATTAAATCCGCCAGAAAAAAATAAGTATGAAAATTTGAAACAAAAATTAATATTGATTTACCAGGAATCGGAAGAACGACAAGTAAAGAAACTAATAGGCGAAATGGAGTTAGGAGACCAGAAACCATCGCAGTTATTGAGAAAAATGCAGGACCTAGCTCGCAATAGAGTCACCAACGAGACACTAGTGGTGAGGTGGCAAAATCACCTACCACCATCAGTCAGAGGAGTATTGGCTGTGACAAATGAAGATGATTTAGAAAAATTAGCAACTATCGCGGATAAGGTAATGGAGACCGCGACGCCAATACCCAGTATCGCTGCGGTGGAAGGAAAATCGCTGACCTTGAATAAAGACGATTTGGTAATAGCCCACCTTGATAAAATAAGCGAAAGACTTGAAAAATTAGAAACTAGATCAAGAAGGCACTGGCAGAAAGGTAACAGAAGGCGTTACGGATCAAGATCGCGATCGTCATCAGAGTCAAGGACGCGTGGGAAGACACCTGAAGATCCCAATTGGTTGTGTTACTATCATTATCGATACAAGAATCGGGCAAATAAGTGCGTCCAGCCGTGCAACTGGAAGAAAGATGTCAAGCCGTCGGAAAACTAACGTCGGTGCAGCCGACGACGGGAGGCTGTGGCCGCGTAGATTCTAACAACCGTCTTTGTGTGATGGACAGGAAAACAGGTTTAACTTTCTTAGTGGATAGCGGTGCTAATGTGTCTGTGCTACCCCGCAGCATAGCACATATTAAAGGTAATAAAAATAATGTACGTTATAAATTGTATGCCGCGAATGGAACCGAGATTAATACATATGGTACGCATTTTTTAGAGTTAGATCTTAACCTTAGAAGAGCTTTCCGTTGGTTATTTATATTAGCGGACGTACAGCAACCAATATTAGGTGCTGACTTCTTAGCTAAGCATAAGCTGTTAATTGATTTGAACGGACGAAGATTAATCGATCAGTTAACTAATTTAAGCATTAGAGGTACCATTTCGAGTTCAACTGAGTCCACTGTAAAGACAATTGTTGATAATTGCCCTTATTATGATTTATTATGTAAGTTTCCCGAGTTAACTATGCCTGTTTCATATAAGGAGACACCTAAACATGGCGTTTGTCATCACATAGAGACCACAGGACCACCAGTGCACGTGAAAAGTAGGCAGCTACCACCAGACAGGTATGTTAAAGCTAAAAATGAATTTAAAGTTATGCAAGAGCTTGGGATTTGTAGGCCGAGTAATAGCGCTTGGGCAAGTCCTTTACATATCGTGCCAAAGAAGGATGGAAATATTAGACCTTGCGGTGATTATAGACGTTTAAATTCGATTACTAAACCGGATCGTTATCCAGTTCCCCGTCTTCACGATTTTATGTATAATTTGTCGAATAAGAAAATATTTACGAAGTTAGATATAAATAGAGCATATAATTGTATACCCGTAGCCGAAAATGACATTGAGAAAACGGCTGTCATAACACCTTTTGGGTTATTTGAATTTATGCGAATGCCTTTCGGATTGCGTAATGCAGCACAAACTTTTCAGCGCTTTATGCACCACACCGTCTTACAAGGTTTAGATTTTTTATTTAATTATTTGGATGACGTAATAATTGCCTCAGATAATGAAACCGAGCATAAACAGCATTTACTTAAAGTTTTTGAAAGATTTAACGAGTATGGGATAACAATTAATTTCGCTAAAAGTAGTTTCGGAAAGACAAAATTAGATTTTTTAGGTTACGAAGTCACAACTGAAGGAATTATACCTTTAACGGATAAGGTTAAAGCTATTATTGATTTTCCAAAACCTAACACTATTGAGGAACTAAGAAGATTTATGGGTATGTTAAATTTTTATAGAGCACACATACCGCATTCGGCAGCCCACCAATTACATTTATATAAGTATTTAAGTTCTTCTAAACGTAAAGATAAAAGTAAAATTAATTGGACAATAGAGGCCGAACAAAATTTTGAACAATGTAAGGAAGATCTTAAAAATGCTGCATTGTTAGGTTATCCATCTATAGACACACCGTTCTCATTAATGACAGATGCGTCAGACAATTGCGTAGGTGCAGTATTACAACAAAAAATTGCTGACAAATGGAAACCTTTAGGTTATTTTTCTAAAAAGTTAACAGAAGTGCAAAAGAAATATAGCACGTACGATAGAGAACTTTTAGCAATTTATTTAGCCATAATTCATTTTCGTTATTTAATTGAAGGTCAAAATTTAATTATTTATACTGATCATAAGCCTTTATCTTTTGCATTTACGAAATCAGGTACAAATAGAGAAACATCAAGGCGGGCCAGGCAAATCATGTTTATTAGTGAATTTAGTTCTGATATAAGGCATATTAGTGGTCAAAATAATATTGTAGCGGACACATTATCTAGAATTGAAACAATAACAAGTCCCACGATTATCGACTTCGCAGAACTGGCAGTTGCGCAGGAAGTCGACGAACAGCTTGCAAAAATTCTTAGTGAATCGGATAACAACTGTAAGTTGATATTTAAGCGTGTAACTTTAAATGTACCCAATAAGCATGTTGTTTGCGAAACATCTACTAATAACATACGTCCTTATTTACCGGAACAATTTAGGCGTTTAGCTTTTGATTCGATACATAACTTGAGCCATCCAGGCATTAGAGCTAGTAGAAAAATAATAGCAGATAGATATTTTTGGCCAAATATGAATAGAGACATCGGTAATTGGGCCAAAACATGTATAAATTGTCAACGAGCGAAAATACAGAAGCATACAGTATCTAATTTAGGACAATTTGATATTACTAAACGTTTTGAGCATATACATATAGATTTAATAGGTCCTTTGCCAATCACAACTGAAGGATATAGGTATTGTTTAACCATTGTGGATAGATTTACACGTTGGCCAGAAGCTTTTCCTATAAAGGAAATGACTGCAGAAGTAGTCGCAAAGACGTTATACGAGGGTTGGATTAGTCGTTTTGGTTGTCCAGTTAAACTTACAAGCGATCAAGGTCGACAATTTGAAAGTAACTTATTTAGACAACTAATGTTATTAATGGGAATTAAAAAGTCAAGAACCACCCCGTATCATCCTCAGTGCAATGGAACAGTAGAACGTTGGCATAGATCGTTGAAAACTGCAATTACAGCTCGTTTAAGCAATAAGTCTTGGGTAGATGAACTGGCAACTGTAATGTTAGGATTACGCACGACAATTAGGTTAGATACAGGCGTAACCGCTGCACAAATGTTGTATGGTAATAATATTAGATTACCTGGTGATTTTTATGATGGAAGCAATGTGAAATCGTGTGATGATAATGATTACGTTAGCAAGTTAAAAGAAGTTATTGACGAATATAAACCGTCTAGTAGAGAAAATAGATCATCACGTAAAATTTTTGTGCATAAAGATTTGTATACGTGCGATTATGTTTTTGTTCGAAATGACGCAGTAAGGAAACCGTTACAACCTCCTTACGACGGACCATATCGCGTCATTAATAGAACTGATAAAGTTTTTTGTGTACAATTGCCAGACAGACAACTTAGAGTTTCTATAGACCGTCTTAAACCTGCATTTATGTTAGCAGAGGATACTGTACAACCGGAAGTAGTAGATAATAGTGGTAAAACTGTCTGTCAAAAAGTTCAGAAAAAAGTAACTTTTCAAACAGCCGAACCCAGTAGCTTTGGTTATACTACGAGAACAGGACGAGTCAGCAAAAAGCCAATGAAGTATTTGTAACAATTAATTTTGCTGATTAGACAATAATTTAACTAGGACATTTGGTTATATAATTACGTGTTAATATGAAATAGAAAATGTATTATAAATTCATTTAGTGTTTGATACCTGTACGTCGTAGTTGATTAATTAGGAAATGGGCAACTTACAGACAAAGGACAAAGTTGTTGTTAACGAAAATATATCCAGCACAGCTCAAGTAGATAACAAGTTGAATATGATTGGTATCGTTATGATAATTATTATAGTACTACTGATTATAGTGATTGGATATGCATTAAAACGAAAATGTGCTAAAGGCGTCAGGAAATGGTTGAAGAAAGAAATGGTTGCTAGTTCTATAACCTTACCAAATATTAAGGTAGAAACTATGCAACCGCCGCAAATTAATAATGAAACGTCTGCACCTCATAAAGTGGTTTACTGATTATTGATCGAGAAATCTTCGTGCATTCATGTTATTAAGTGTGTATGTGATTGAAATTATTTTGTAACGATTTAATAGTGTGTGTTATATTTTGCTATTCGGTCATAGAACAAGCTGCATGGTTTGTGTTGTTGGTGTCCGGCCACAACGATGTCAAGAAAGGATAACAAAATGTAACCTAAACATATTATATTATATGCGTAATATAAGAATAAATAATTGTGTTAAAGTCATGGTAAATTAATATTTAAGTACGCTGCTGATATCTAAATTTTAAATAGCGTGATAATGAATGTTAAAACTTTTGTCGCTATTACAATGTTGGAATGTATTCACAGGCTTATCGCATAACAATACATAGCATAGTACTCATATTAAGTTGCAAACTGTTGATTGAGCAGAAAGATGATGTCACCTTTGGTGACAAAGTAAATTCACAAGAAATATTGTTTGATAAATATACTGATTAGAATTAAGATTTTGTGTTGTAAAAAAAAATATATAAATATTTTTTTTAAAAAAAAAAAAGAGGGAAATAGTGTTGCGGGAATGCTGACGCAACGTTTTGAGTTATCGGTACTGTAGTGCGCTGTGAACGACAGTTGTCCCGTGGTCGTCTTGTATACCGTACTACAGCACACCCATATATATTGTATACAGTCGTAATTAATAAATTTAAATAAGTTGTTCATAGACTTATTATTTCTCTCTGTACACATACGCAACCCCAGTAATAAAGGAACAAAGTAACGACCAGTTACAAAAGCATATTTTAAGCCGAATACGAACAAAAGTTATGCTACCGATGCCGAATAAAAAATAAACAGACAAGTTTGACAATATTTGAGTAAGTTAAGAAAATGTTTTAGATTATTCTGTACGTAATATTGTACATAGTACATTAATATTTAAAGGAAATTAGATCTATCTATATTTAAAAATAGCTATTAAAGTTCAAATTTCTAAAGCCGCGGCAAAAACGTGCTAACTATCATAAAATAACGTTTATTTTCCTCTGAAATGCAGGCTTAAAAAAATTGTTATCTAACTAATTCCTAATTTTAGCTGCTATATATCAGTGTAATTTGAGCCACAATGGATTTTACGCAGAATTAAAAACCAGTGTCCATTCAAAAAATGGAAATCTCCTTTACGTAACTGAATTTATATAAAATAATTTGAAAAGGGTAGAATCCGAGTAAGAGTATAGTAATATGTAATTATAAAACATTATATTTCACCTTAATTTTAAATCCATAGTCAAATCCGTCGCCAGTTTCAGGTACATTTAGCATATCATACCACATTTGAGCTGGCCCGAACCGCCAGTGAGCTGGAGTCGGTCTTTGCGATTTGTCGCCAGATTGTGTATTATTAGTATCGTTATTTCCTTGCTGAGTTTCTTCCATTGGCCTTACAAATAAAATAAAATAATGATAATAACTACGTTTTGCACTAGGAACATGACAAATAGGTAGGTGATAATGATTAAGTTAGATGATAATTAAGGAGTCTTTTAATGTTACCAATTATTTGTTTCTTAACTTTACAATAATTAGTATGCCCTTTCATGGCCCATGGAAAAGCGTTGTCGCGAGGTACCTGCTAACTAACTAACTGCTAAACATCAAGATTTGTTTGTGCTTGTTTAGCAACAATTTTTTTGGGTCAATTGTGAATACCATTTGTCTAATTAGAATGAGATTGTAATCTGTCTGTGGAAATGAATGGTAATATGTAAATAGCAAATGAAAAGTGGCTTCATGGTTCCATAAACTGTCAGTATTAAACAAAGGGTGCTTCTAAATATAAAAAAATATAATATTAAGGGTAACGCACTTGTCCCTTGGGTTGCCTGTGTGTGGGTGGGGTTAGTCACTTACCATCAGGTGACCCGTCTGCTCTTTCACTCTTTACACTAGGTACATGATATTATATGAAGTCACTCACTTCAAGAACTTATCTTCATCGTCGCTAGCATACTGAGGTTCCTGGTTATCCAAAGCCGTAGGTGGCGTATCACTGCTGGTACTGCCACTACGTTTGCGCCGTCTGCGCTTTTTTACGCCCCGCCATATTTGAGGTAAGCTTGATAACTTTCCGGGTCCAAAGAGGCGTGAGAATAAAAGGACCTAAAATGAGAATCCAATAAAAGTCGAATGAGAAAAGATCTCATCTATCTGTTTCCAGTTCAGAATTGTTAAATGTATGGAATCACAGACATTCTAGTAATGTTCCAATATCATATTGGCTTTTAAGATTTAAATGTCAAAAATTATACTTGTAAAATAAAGTACTAGGATGACTGAGCTTAGCTCGGTGTTTTTTATTTCGGTAAAATTTCAAAAAATGAAACCTAGCTAGATCTATACATTGACCCCAAAACCCCCTGCATACAAAATTTCATGAAAATTGTTGGAGCCGTTTCCGAATTTCAGATGATATATATATACATATACAAGAATTGCTCGTTTAAAGGTATTAGATAGATAAAAACTCTTAGGTTTTTTAGTTGAAGATAAAATGACCTTCCATAGGCTTATTATATAGTAAAAAGAATGCAGGATGACAAAAGTATATGACTGAAATAATTTTTTTATAATAATACTTTTATTTCTTTTATTACTTTATTATATATATATATATATATATACATATTTATTACTTTTATAATTAAATCTTTAAATACATATTTTCTTACTTTATCTGGCCTAAAATCTGGAAAAAGTTCTCTGACATCTATGTTAGCATATTTAGATGGTAACATTGCTGCCAGTGGTGTTTCCAATCTTTTAGGTTTCTCTGATTGACCTGGCTTCGACCTGTAATGTAAGAAAAAAGCACATTTACATATGTATATTCATTTCTTATACAGACACTTCTGTATCAGGTAAAAGTGACGGTGTATAGAAAATGATAATAGTAGACTCAGAACATATTCTATGTATTATGAAATGAAAATCGTTTTGGCATTTTTTGAGTTTTAGTTTAGTGTAATTTTTTTTAATGTTAAATCAATCAAACAATAAAATATTTGATGCAATTAGCTGCGCTTGTAGCAATTAGTGCAAAAGATAATTTCACTCGCTTGAAAAGATTACAATACACCTGCAAGATTGCCTCATTAGACGTATATAGCATAACGCAATATAATTCAATAATTATAAATCCGTAATCATGCATTTTATGGCATCCAAAGGATGACTATGCACCCTATGTTTGAAGTGAAACTTATGTTCCAGCCAAGCAAGAAATGGTCTTAATTCTATTTAAAAGAAAATAGTAGATATAACTTTAATGGGCTGGGACCAAATAAAAATGAGGAGACAAAGTAAAAAAAAGGTATTTGGGAAAATATACTGATAGCACATGTAAATATATGTGAAAATGTCACACTTACGGTATGGTGGTTGGTGGTGGCATAAGTTCACCATCTCCCTCCATATCTCCTTCATACCCCTCATCGTTAGTCCTCACACTCTGTTCAAATATATTATCATTCTTCCAATTTCCATCTTTAGTCTGTTCTTCACTCTGTGAACAATCTGTATCATCTACCTCAGACTTAACATTGGATTTTTCGTTGCCCTCTGTGTGTGTGATATCATTTTGTGCATCTTGGTTAGTGCTAGTTTCTATCTCCTAGTGTTAACACAAACAATATAAGTGACATTTAGTTAAGTGAACAAATACAACTTATCTAGAAATTATTGGTAGATTTTCTGTATAATCATAGCTTTTCTTTTGTTATTTTGAATTTATTCAAACTGTGTGCAACAAACTCTTTTGTCACTTGAATTTATGATTTACTTGAAACGGCTAGAGAACCATTAAGCACTAAAATTTAATAAAACCAATCATACATAGTATCTACCAATAAATTATATTAGTAACAGAATTCAAACTAGATACATACACTTACTATTTATACTCACTGCATAACATTTATAACAAGACATGAGCAGAAACATTCTGGGATTTTATAAACTAAAATATTGTACTATACAACAATAAGTATTATTAATATCTCACACACCCACCCAGAATTAATTAAGATTAGAAGATAAACATAAATCAGAGTTAAACAATGTACATTTTTAATACCACAGAATATTTTAATTTTAATAAATAGTATTATTGATTAAAGTGACGAACCAACACCTGTGCATAGATAAAAGACAAATAGGTATAGATACAATTTTATTATACTATGCTGAAAATTTAAATGCTGCCCTTCAATCCAATAAACTTTATAAATTTAATTAAATGTAATAAGCTATGGCAACTTGTTTTTTGCAATTAACTGATTTATATCTTGATGACTGATCTTATGCTTTATGAAAACTAGGAACTAATTGTTTAACCGTTTTCTGTGAAGCTATGATATCACTCCGGTCAATCCTACCCATTTGTGCCAAAGCATGACTGTCAAACAATAATCAAACTAAAAAAATTAAACTAGTAATACAAAAATTTAAATAAACAGGATTTGTAGAGAATTAAATAATAGATGAAGATAGCTTTAGTAATTGATTATTAATTAAAACTCAAACACAGTGTTTATGGTATAACCATGAGAATGCATTAAACAATATGGGATCTATTACTGGAATACCAACCACTTGCCCTATGCTATAGGATCCCAAAACAACATATCCTTGTAAAGAGATACTACATACATATACATGTAAATAACCAAGATCAATTCAGTGTAAAAGATGTTTGAATCTATATGGACTGTTCTAATATGGGATTACCAACTGGACCTGGAGCGTTTTTCACCAGATCTAATTAAAGACTCATCATTGGCTAAGTTTGATTGTGTGGCAATAATAGCCGCCGCTGTAATATTATGTCAAGTGGTATTCAGGACTTTAATGGAAATACTGTCAGACAGTATGGCTGTGCTAAAAGCACTAGAAGGTAATGCAATGAACTCTGGTTTTGTCTTGGAATGAAATCAAACATTAAAGCAGCTAGCCTTAATAAATTGGTTACTTCTCCAATGGATTAAAATGCATAGACTGCAGCTAGAACATCTTTAGACTAGTTACATCTTTTATATTGTTTGTTATAAATATCACCCCCTCACTTGGATCAAATTGTCAAAAACCGAGCTACAAAATTAGCTCCAAGCAAGCTTCTAACTTGCTGATAACAGTCTTGTTAGTTTTTAAACTAATACCTGAAAAAGTAATGTAAAAGCAGAACAAATTTTTAATCTAGATTTTTTGAGTTGTGACATTTGAGTGGAGGTGGAATTTGTCTTATACATATTTCTTTAAAAAATTAAATAGGTTGCTCAAGTTATTATTACAATAAGGGATTAATATCTTTTCATCTTTACCTTTACGTCTTCAGCTGCATCATCAATATCAAAGAAGTCAACTGCTGAAGGACTCTTTTGTGTATAGTCTGGAAGCAAAATAATATGTGAAAGGATTTTTATATTTATGAGATTCATTTTGCTGGAACTTAAAACCTTACTAATAACAATACTACAAGTATGATGAATAAAAATTTATTAAGCTGGACTAAATCTAATATGAAAGGCAGAGGATATTGTGCTACTGGATATAAACTTCTATCATGAAATATACTCTTGTTAGAAGCTTATGTCCAGTAGTAGTCTGCCAAACGCTGACTGATAAATGGAGATTATTACCTGAATCTCATAATCACTTATATGGAATAAGGGTCTTTAATGCATGTAATGAAACGAATAAATGCATATTAAAGGAAAACATAGTGGCCAGTGTGGTATAGTAGGTCAAAACCTCTTTTCTAAGGAGAGGTCTATGTACAGCAGTAGACTATTAAAGGTTGTTGATGATGATGAAACAAATACATTGTCAATGACCCAAAATAAGCTCTATGTGGGCAGTCTATCCTATCACATGGTATTTAATTTGTGTAGTAAAAGTAAATACCATGTGATGGGATACTCATCTAATATCAATTTGATCTGATCGAATATAAGTTTTGAACCGCAATTGGATACAATATGCATACATTAAAACCTATACAAGAATAGGTAATTAACTAATCCCCAAAAAGTTACAAATTTCCACAGCAAATATGATTTAAATTATTTTTGATTAATGTTCACCTTTTTCTTCATCCTCTTTGTTGGTCTCTTCTTCTTCTAAAACTTCGGACAACATTGAACCCAGACCCAATCGGGTGAGTGAAGACAACATTCGTTTAGATTCACCGTCCAGAAGACCGTCATCTTCAAGCTGGCCTCTTTCATCAATGTTGCCGAAGAGAAACCCAGTCAAATCCATGCCGGAGCGACCAGAGTCCCCCGCTTCATCGCTGTCACACATTTTAATTCAATTAAATAACACCTATTTAAAATATATTATTTACCAAAATCATCACAAAAACAACGCTAATGGTCCAACAATACACTGTAGAATTGCTTTTATTTTGACAAACATTGACACTGTAGGCTGTAAGTTTTTTTTTTTAATTATTTTTATTCATTCATTTAGATACAAGTCTTTCAGTCAAAAACATAGATGGGTTTAAACTTACTTGGCTGTAAGATAAAGTGATCAGGGTTGCCAGCTACCAAATCTGTTGTACCCTAAAACTCTTTCAAACAAAATTAACTACTTTCCACAAGGTACAATAATTCTTTTGTCTAAAAAATTACTTTTTAATTACTGTTTTGCCTATTTTAGTAAGGACGTTTTTTAAATATAAAATAACATAACAAATCCTTATAATTGGCATTTTGTAACCTTTGCTATGAAGACAACCTCCCTATAAAAATCACATTTACACAGAGGTAGGCGAATTCTTAATTAAGTATTTTTTTGTTAGGACATCAATAAAGTTTAAATATTACTATTAAGAACCGTTGCCTTAATATCTTCCGTTACGAAAGTTACCGTTTGGTTGCTACTTAAGGATAGAAGGTAAAGTTATTAGGGATAGTTATTCAGTTCTTTGGGAATTAAAATTTCGCTGTATTGTTTTGAAAGGTCAATTTAATATTTTAATTAATAAGCGTTTGTGAATAGTTTGTACCTGAAATTTTTAATTAAAATATTCATTTGTTAATCTGAATGACATTGCTTGAAATGTCTAATTCAGGTCGATTCAGCTTTAGTTGTAGTTGCAAGTTTGCAAAGGAAAAATCAATGATAAAAGAAGGTAGAGAGAAACTACTAATTTGTTTTATTTATTTCTGGCAACACAAACTGCACGTCAGTTGTCAAAAGGTATTCTAATACTACCTTCGCGCGTAAATTGAGTTTTCGGATTATAAACTCAAACTTTGATGGCTAGTAAAACAATTGCAATGGAAATGTCCAGACCGTATTAAGTAAATGTATATGCGTCGGTAGACTCGGTAATCCTGATTTCTGACTGCTAGTGAGAGGCCACGGGTTTATAATGAACCTTTATTCACCTAGAATAAATACTGGCCTACGATTATTTTGTTATATGTATGGGTCTAAGATTATAACGTTTTAAGATTAATGTATAGATGTAGTCATATGTTTTTATTTTATATGTACCTATTTAGAAATATATCAAGATTGAAGCTTTTTTAATCGAGGTCAGCCGAACAGTATTCATGTTAATATATTATTATTAAATTATTCATGTTAACTAAAAACTTCGTACTAGTTGTTGGTGTGTGACTGCCTATATGTTACAGTCAAAACTCTTAACCGATTGAAAGTTTTTTAACCGACAAAATCAGTCAAAAATACTTTTTAATTAATGATAAATGATATTTATTTCTGCAAGTAAATATTTTCAGATAAGTATTTTAACAAGTCGGACTTTACAGATAGAAGGAGCCGGCATTTACTGAGACTCACTCTGGGCAGAAACGCCAGTTTTAAGTCCGTAAACAAAGTTAATAAAATTGTGCGGGTACAGTATAGGGTCTGGGTAGGCCTTTTGAAGAAAGGACCATAGTTTTGAGTCGGCCTGTTCATACAGACGGCAAACTGGCTCCAGCCATCGTGTAGCCTAACGGATATTGGTCAAGATCAACGACCCGAAGCATGACACTGCCGCCAGCAGGACATTTGGGTACTCCGTGGAAACCCTCAAAACCTCCAGAAAATTACTAAAATATGAATTAACATTACAAGCCTACACTATACACACTCTACACACTATACACGCTCACATTTACATACTTACATAAAAAAAAACTATACAATTCAAATTCAAAGAAAAATAAACAAATTAAATAAACAAAATACGAAACACCAAAAAAATTATAATTAAATGTCCATCACTTTCAAACTTAACAACAAAGATGTGAACGTAAATGTGGGAGTGAGCAGCATCAAACCCAAGCAAAATGGTCGCCTAAATAATCTGTAATAGTGTAGTAAGCCTTTTCACACAATTTTAGCTTTACTAAAGACTTAAATTTGTTAATACTTCATTCATAGAATTTGCTTGGCACTTTATTGTAAAATCGCACACCCTGACAACGAAAAGACTTGCTTACTTTTTGTAGTCTAGTGGTTGGTAACACGGGTTTATATTTATTTATAGTGTTTATTTTATAAATGTCGCTAAACTTTGTGAATAAATGATTATTTTTCTTTACATACACTAAATTTTCATATATGTATTGAGATGCGACTGTCATGATACCAATTTCTTTAAACTTATCCCTCAGTGACTGCCTATAACTGAGACTGGGAAGTAGTAACCTCAGCTTCTAGCCTGGACGAGAAAGTCGAAGCTTTTAATAGTGCAGTTATTAGCTTATACGATACTCATGCGCCTATAAGGAAAATTAAACTCAAGAGGCCACCTGCGCCGTGGATGACAAAGGAGATTCTCTTGGCTATGGGGCGAAGGGATAGGGCTTTCTGTAGGCTTAGAAAGGGCCGCACAGATGAGAAGTGGAATCTGTACAAAAGTGTAAGGAACCGATGTAATCAGATGATACGCAATGCCAAACGCCGTTATATCCTTGACAACATTGCTCGTTCCTCCCCATCCCACACATGGAAGTTCCTTGGAACGCTAGGTGTTGGCAAACAGACACCTGCTAACCAGTCGGAGATAGTTGGTCTGGATAATATTAATCGTCATTTCTCCACGTCTACTCGTTTAGATCACCAGACCAAGTATCTCACAGTCAATTACTTGGCGAGCCTAAATCCCCCTAACATTAACTCTTCAATTTGTTCCAGTTGCGCAGGGTGAGATCAAAAAGATAATCCTCTCTCTCAAATCTAACGCTGTGGGCTTCGACCAAATTACAAGACGCATGATCACAACAATTCTCGATCAGCTTTTACCAGCAATCTCCCATATCATTAACTACTCCCTATACTCCAGAACTTTCCCCTCACTTTGGCGCAAAGCCTACATTATTCCATTACCTAAAATTGCAAATCCCACACTTCCTAACCACTTTAGACCTATATCAATTCTTCCCTTCCTATCCAAAATTCTTGAAGCCTGTGTACATAAACAGCTCTCGGGTTTCATCTACAAAAATGACTTATTAAGCCCATTTCAATCTGGTTTTAGGCCTGGCCACAGCACCACCACTGCCCTCCTCAAAGTGACTGGTGATATCAGGGTGGCTTTGGAAGATACAAAAGTGACAGTCTTAATTCTGGTGAACTTTTCAAACGCCTTTAACACCGTCAGCCACGATATCCTCTTATCCATCCTCTCCTATCTTAAGATCTCGCCTGAAGCGCTGGAATGGTTCTCATCTTATCTTCAGGGACGCCAGCAGTCCGTTCGTGTCGACGATCTCTCCTCGAGCTGGTGTGATGTCGGCTCTGGTGTTCCTCAAGGCGGTATACTTTCTCCTTTATTGTTCTCTGTGTTTATTAATCTCTTATCTCTTGAACTTCGTAACGCGTATCATCTGTATGCTGACGACCTGCAACTGTATGCTCAAGCTAATGTTGATGACATACCAATAGCTATTGACGAGATCAACATAGATCTCAAAACCATCAAAAACTGGTCTGAAAGGTTTGGGTTATCGGTCAACCCGACAAAGTGTCAGGCAATAATAATTGGCAGTCAGCGTTCGATGAACAGAGTCAATTTTGAGACGCTCCCCAAAATAATTTTTAATGGTATCACTATACCTGTTTGTCGATCGGTGAAAGACCTAGGCTTACAACTCGACTGCACCCTGAACTGGCGCGATCAAGTCACATACGTATGCCAGAGGGTTACCGGCATTCTTAGAACATTATATCGCCTGAAAAATTTTCTTCCCGTGAAAACTAAGACAGCGCTCGTGCAATCTCTTATCTTCCCTTTAATCGACTACGGTGACGTGTGCTATTATGACCTGAATGCAGATCTTCTCAACAAGCTAGATCGTCTCATCAATAACTGCATTCGATTCATCTTTAATTTTCGTAAGTATGACCATATCTCCGATTTTCGTTCCCAACTAAGATGGTTACCTATTCGTCAACGCAGGAAAATGCGCGCTCTCACAACTATGTACACTATCCTCAATTCCCCTTCCCCTCCTACTTATTTAACAACACAATTTCAATTGTTATGCAACAACCACAACAGAAACCTTCGTTCGGCCAACAATCTTCTTCTACTCTGTCCTTCTCACACCACTGGGTTTGTCGGCTCTTCGTTCTTTGTCCAGGCTGTCCTCTTATGGAATGCGCTTCCTCACGAAGTCAGGATGGCTACAAATCGGTACTCTTTTAAGACGAAAGTGAAAGAGCTATTGTTGAGCGAAATGGCAGATTCAACGAGCTCCTAGTTCATCGGCTAATTTTTTTTAATTTTTTATTTTTTTTATTTTTCTCATATATATATGTGTATGTGTATGTATATATATATGTGTATGTATGTATTTATGTATATATTTATGAGTATGTATATGTATGTGTATGTGTGTGGTATTACGACGTATACACCAAATTCCAAGATAGTTGGTATTTAACAAAACCACTATCGTTTATACCCTATCATAAATGCACCTACCTCATTCTTTCTCAGCACCGCCCAATCGGTCGACTGGCAGAGAATGCCTTAGGCATTAAGTCCGCCGATGCATGTACTTGTGCAAAAAGTTAAAAATAAATAAAATAAATAAATAAATAAGATTACGCACGAATAGCTCTCTTTTGCAACACAAAGATACTTTAAATGTCAGCAGCATTTCCCCACAACAAAATACCGTATGACATTACACTATGAAAATAGCCAAAATACACCAGTCTAGCTGTTTCTACATCGGTTAATTAACGAATTTTATAAAAAGCGTATGCTGCAGAGCTGAGCCTATTCGACAATCCGTCAATGTGTGGGCCCCACTGCAATTTAGAGTTTAGTA